TCAAAGTGGAAAAAAATGTTAAAAATATTTTAAGGGAAAATGCATACTTAAGTCACAATCATTTTTAAGTAATCAAAACATTTTGGATGTGTTACCTTTACTTTTTTCATCCTAAACCATGGATGTCTTTAAATCTATTGCCTATCGTCTTTTAATTCTCCCCAATCATATTATGATTAAAAGGGAGTTACCTAAAATTTATTTACTTATTTATTTATTTTTGTCTTTTTCATTTTTATCGGTACCAGGGATCAAACTCACGACCGCCTGCTTGCAAGGCAGGTGCTTGTGCCGCTGAGCTAAATCCCCAGCCCCCTAAAATTTAAAATTCAAGTTGGTTTAATCATCTGAAGCATCCAGTTTGTGACCTACCAAGTTTCCTGGTGTTAGTTTTCTTCCTATGCATTCCATTCATTTGCTGTTTTATTAGTGCGACCTCCACCAGAGGGCAGACAAAAGGTGAGGATGTGAAACTCTCCAAGTGGGTAATTTATCGGCTTCCAGAGAAGCTTGGGCAGCATCGCGACCATAAGACTTTAAATAGCTCTAACGCTTTAGGAGTCTCTGGAAACTGTCTTGTCCAGCTGAAACAGCTTTAGCTAAAATATAGCAAAAGAACTGGCAAATTTAATTAATGAATTCAACCATTCATTCAACAAACACCTAAATACCAAACACGTGCCAGGCACACTCTAGGCTCCACAGATTCAGTCGCTAACAAAACAAGCCAGTTTTCATTGCTGTGATACTTTATTCCATATCTGTTTAGGAGATATACAGTAAGCACATAAATTACATGATTTTAGTACTTAAAGAGTATTGGGAAGGCTATTTTTAAACAACGTAAGTAAAGCTGAATAAACTAGGGAATGAGCCACTCCTTAAAAGGGAAAAAGCATTCCAAGCAGAAGAAACAGTAAATGCAAAGGTCCTGAGACAGGAACAAACTTAGCTGACTGGCTTAGCAGCAAAAAATGGTATGGCTAAAAATGAGTGAGCAAGGTAGTGAGAGACAGATGATATTAGGGAAGTGGATACTGGAAGTCAATCTGTGATCACGTAGGCCTCTCATAAACATATGGATTCTCATTTTCCTTAAGGCCAAGTTTCCCCAGATTTGGTTACTGAGAACTCCTTCAGTCCAGCTCCCATATCCTTTTGATATGCCCCTATCACTTAAAAAAAAATTGTTTCCTCACTTTGTGGCATGAAATGTTTAAGGCTAAGCTTGCACTTCCCTGCTCTAGCTCTAAAATCAGCGGTGCAGATGTGGGCATTAGTTGAGTTTACTGCTACAGTACTCTGGAGTCACAGCTCTTTTATCAGACAAGAGGTAGGAAATACACAGACGTATGCACATATTTTTAATTATGAGTTCACACTGACCCAACATATCACTAGTTCCAATCCAGCACAAGAGTCTGCCGCCTTCTTCCATTCCCTGTTTTCTTTTCTCCCACAGTGAAAATCTTATTCCAAGCAGGGATGGAGGTGTGCACCTGTGATCCCAGCAATTTGGGAAACTGAGGCAGGTGGCTCACAGTGAGTTCAAGGCCAGCTTGGGCACACAGTGAGTTCAAAAGCAGCCTTAACTACCTAGGGAGACTGATATAGGGGAATGAAACTTCCGACCTACTATGTCCAGTACAAGCTCGGGTTCTCTAAAATCGAAGAATGAATTTTAGGAACAATGGAGGTTAAGAGCAGAACATATTTATTAAGAGAAAGTAAGGTTCTGTCTGAAGAGAGACAGAAGGGGTCCCAAGCGGGATGCCAAGGACTCTCTCATTTTTAGGGACTCTTGTAGGAGTAAAACCATGGGTTCAAGGTGGGGGGAAGACCGGGAGCTCACAAGGCAGATGGGATGAGGTGGGACATAACTATAGTTAGCCAATAAGATCAATAGTTCAGGTAAAACTGATTACATTTGGGACAAATGGGGAAGTCATGCAGAAAGCAGGCATTCCTAAGGAGCAGTGACTCTTCCCTAAAGGGATGGGAACTATTTAGGGTATCAATCCTCAGGATATGGGTGCATTTGTATGGTCTTTTGTCTTGAGGCCTGGCCCAGAGCAGGAGGCTTCCAGGCAGCTGCCTGGTGTATGCACTGATTCCATTGAGGATCTATCCCTGTCTCCCAGCTTATAATATTTTTAACTAACTTAGTTGTCTGCAACAAGATCCTGCCTCAAAAATAAAACAAACAAAACAAACAAAAAAACCCAAAACCCTATCAAGTGTCAACTATTCATATGCTCAATTCTATAATGTACATGAAATAGTTTCAAAATTAGTATACTTGTGCCATACAAATAACACACTATCACAGAGTTCAAGGTTTTCAGCTCTTTTTTATCTTTAGATTATGGTCAGAGCCCTGTGTTCAAAATGTAACTGATTCTTTTTTCTTAATCCTTCTGGAACTTTAAGTTATTTGATGAAAGTTGGTTCATTAGTTGCTATTCATTTGTATTTAGTTTTAGAGTTTAAAAAAAAAGTAACAAAAAGAAAAAAAATTTGGAGCCCCCCCATCTTGTTAATTTTATTTTTGAACATAAGAGACAAACAAATTTCCATAACTCAAAACTATACAAAAAAGTACATCATGCCTTTTGTTATCTCGGCTTCCTGAGCTCCTGCTACACACCTTACAGTGATTTCATTTGCTTTTGGTTATCTCAGGTGTTTATTTGGTCAAAAAGCTAGGCTTTCTCAAGGTGTAACAGAGAAATAAGGCAGTCACTGAAGTGGAACACTGGATCCAAAAAAGTATTTTGTACTTTCAGGTGGGAGATACAACATAATGTTTATTAGTAAGCTAAACTGTCAAATGGAAGAGGCAAGGGAGAGAAGATAATTACAAGGCAAATTATCTATCAACATATTTTCTGGTTTGATCTGAGGGATATCAAAGGGTTCCCATACTCCAAAAAAGCTCTCGTCCTGTTCATAACCTTCCAGATTACAGTTATATCTATGCCTCTAGAGAACATTAAAATAGTTATTATTGTGGAATTATAAGTCAACATCACCTATTAATTTTAACAAAATATATTCTGCCCAAATGAGGTTTTACACTTTGAATAAGGCATTTAACCAGGCGAAGAGGTAAGAGGGTGGTGGCAGGTGTGAACACGGATAGAGTACCAATCACGCTGCAAAAAGAGCACACATCCCTAACATGCCTTGGACATTTGTGCATATGCTAATGAGTAACTGAGGTACACTCTTCTCACCCTGGCACTAAGTTACTGTGACACTCTTGTGGGAAGTACAGCGACAGATCTTGCCTTCAACCCCAAATGAGTTACTTAACAGCTACGTGGCCACTGGCAAATTACCTAGCATCTCAGGCACGGCTTCCTCACCTTTAGAAGAGGCTAGTCCTCCTCTGATATAGAGTGTAGCACTGGGGCTGGGGATTTAGCTCAGCAGCATAAGTGCCTGCCCTGAGTTCGATCCCTGGTACCAATAAAAAAGGAAAAAGACAAAAAACCCCCCAAAAACAAACAAGCAAAAAACCAGAGTGTAGCACTGCCCTAGGCCCGTGACAGATGTGTAATAATTCCTATAGTAAATCCAGATTAAATTAGTCAGAAAAATCTTTTTAAAATAAAACTAATAACACACCCACCGGCTTTTATAAAGTGTCTGAGAGAAGTGACACCATCTCGAGCAGTATTTGGAAGGTAGAAAAATAGCAATTTCAATTCTTAATTTTAATGTGTTAAAGTGTGCTGACAAATGTAAGCACCGATAAAACAATTCTACAGGTCAAAAAGGACCAACAACTCAGAATAGCTTCTTACATAACATCTATGGGTGTTACAGAGAAGAGCTCGAATGTATCACAAATCATACTAATCAGTTTTATAATCTTATGTGCACATAAAAGGATGCCGACAGTGTTCAACAAAATATTCTAAGTTATTTCATTTTCAAATACATCTACAACCCAAAATCCAACATGAAAAATTTTTAAATGCTCTTTAACCAAACACTGAAATAACCTACACAAACTTTCAGAGCCTAAAATCAGTGATAAACCAAAAGTTCTACGCTGCAAACTATTAAAATATGCAACACCAAACACTCAAAAGTTTAGTTTTAAACGTACATAATCTGACCACTAGAAATGCCTTCCCCACCTTATATAAGCAGTATGCACCGTCTCTTCTAGAAAGTCGCAATCTGAGTTTGCAACATTCTGATGGACTGACTGCTGGATAACTCACTTTAAATTTCCAGTGTTTTAAAAAAACTTCCCAGTGCGGTGCCAATAATTCACAGGCAAGGTTGTTTTGTCCGTGGTTAAGGAGAAAGACATATCCGCATCTTTTACAAGAAAGGGAAAGGGAAGGAGTGGAGATAAGGGAAGAGAAAGAGAGATGCAAAATAAAGCACTGTTTCCGTAAACAAATGAAAGCCTGGTTTTAAACTTCTGGAAATTTAATGTTTCCCGACCGAAGAGCAACAAATATCAAAGTGTAAGGCGATCATTTGTGTTCCGAAGTGGAAAACGAGGCAGACAAGACAGTCAAGCACTTTCTCATATACCAACCCGAGAAGTATTCAAAATCCATCCCTTTCTCCCCTATCTCCCTCACTGGACATGGCATCAGTTCCACAGCAAGTTAAGACCGAGACCACAGGACACATTTCGGCCCTCGGTGGGAACTTCAACGGGCTTCCCGGCGCTGCCACTCCACAGCCCTCCCGGGCAGCGCCAAGGCGCTGCCGTCCTCCAGCGAGCCGAGCTCGCGCTTCGAGACCCGGGCGCGGAGGCCTGCGGCGCGGAGGGAACCCGGCGCGCGGCGGTCCGGATGCCCGTGGGCGCCTCGCCTCCCGAGCGGCGCGCCCGCCCCGTCCCTCTCAGGTGGCAGCCGGAGTCCGGACGAGCCAGGGCCGCCGCGCCGCGCCTCACGCCCCCTGCGGGCTGCCGGGGGTGCCCTCGCGGGCGCCCCGACGAGCCCCGCCGCCGCTCGCGCGCCCGCACCTACCAGAGGGAGCTCAGGCCCACGTCGGCCGCGCGCCGCCCGGTCCGCTGGGCGCTCGGCTGCCCCTCGAGCGCGGAGCCGCTGTGCGGAGCGAGCAGAGCGGAGCGGAGCGCACCACGGAGGACACAGCAGCCGGCCACACCCAGCGCGCCCGCCCAACTGCAACTCGCGGCCGCGGGGCCGGGAGGGGACGTGGCGCGAGGCGCGAGGCGCGAGGCTCGGGGGGCGGGGCGCTACGGGAGCGCCCGGCCGGGAGCGCGCGGGCAAGGCGAGGGGTGGGAGGGGGCGCCGCGCGCGGGCTTCTGCTTCCTATTCTTTCCTCTCGTTTCCTGCTAGAAGGAGAAGATAAAACAGAAATTCCAGGGCAGTTTCATTTTCTTAGCGCGGCCCCGGACGCCCGTCTAAGTGGCGTGGCCAGTTTCCTTCCTGACAGGGCACAGGCGTCACTTTGCTGGTGGGCGGGATGGTGGGGATGAGCTAGAAGATCCCGAGATCCTGTTTAGGTTTAACGTTCTGGGCCTCTAAATGTAGGAGAGGAAACTGAAGCCAATGGTCAGACGAATTGCCCTGCAGTCCCAACTCTGCCATCACTTGCAGTGTGACCACGTTCCTGCTTGGAGGCCTAAGTTTTGTCGCTGGCCAAAGAAGGATACTGATATCGGCCACTCGCAAGGGTTGGAAACACTAAATGCAGTGATGTTTGCACAGAGCCTGCCTCTAAATGATCAATTCTTGGAAGTTACTGTTGTCACTGATGAAACCGGAAGGCCTTCCAGATAACCCTGCCAAGTATTGCTCTTCTGTGCCTAAGCTTAACACCACATGCATCTTAATAGACTGTCACATTTTTCTGCGTGTTTTATGTTGAAAATGGCATAAAATAAATGCATCCATCCAATTTGCTTCCTCTGAAGTCAGAACCGCCTGGGAGCATTTTTCTCTCCCCACCCCCATCTTTCTTTTGAGTTAATTCCAGTTTGACAGGCTGTTGCTATAGCATTCCTCCTCTGACGTCAAACAATTTAAAGAAACAGCCCTAGGTAACAAAAACTGCAGAGGAGTTCTTTGTGGATTTTCTGTGCTGGGGAAAAGTTTGAACAATATCATAAGAGAACTTAAACACCCCCGGCAGCCTTCCATTCCCTGTCCTTTTAGCTGCGTCCCACAATCATCTGGAATAAATCTATTACTACCTTAAATGAGATGACGCCAAGATAAGCACACCCTGATTGCGGCTGTGGAGAAAATGTAACCATTTTGAATAAAAGCCAAATCATGGCAAAAATGGAAGCAGTCGTGGTACTAGGATGACGAAATTATGAACAGTTTTTTCTTGAACTTTCCCTTTCCCTAATGTTGAGTGCTTTTTCTCCTTAAAAAGGACAAATGCCAAATCTTCTACTTATCAAAGTGCCAGAGATCTGCACAGTTTTCATCAGCAACTGTTTATATCCTGTGGTGATCAAGTCCTGATTCTTATTACGGTTTTTAAGAGGAAGTAAAGGGATATTTTTAGGTAAGCACCGTCTGTTACGTTCAAGACTCTCTGCTTTGTTATACTGTTCTACATCTCAAAATAATCAACATAAATTTCATCCCCATTTTACAGATTGTGACCTAAAGCTCAGTAAGATTAAGAAATTTACCTGGCGTCATGCAGGAAGTGACAGAGATTTTAGGTGGCCATCTCCAAAGCCTATTTTTCTGTCTTTTGATTTTTTTTTTTCTCTCTTGTTCTTTGTACAACACTATGACAAGTGGTTCATTTAATGTTATGTGTTGAAAAAAGTTGATGGTCCTGTATAGGAAAACTCAGAGGGAAATGCTGAGGTTCTCTATTCAGGGAGATTAATAGCTCTGAAACAAATAAAAACAAAGCAAAAAAAAAATCAAGCAAGAATTTTACTGATATTTGAAGTTGTGTGGCTAAATGGCGATTTGGGCCATTTTGAAAAATTTGATGTGGCCAGAAGAATTACTAGAATAAAGTCCAAGTACAAAAGAGAAATTTTAATTATCCAAAGTGACGCATTTCTCCAAGTATTATAATTCAATTTTGCTACATGTGCTAAGTTTTTGTTTTTTTAAGAACACTTACTTGTTAAAGACAATCCTAAACTGCAAGTCTCACAGTGGAGCTGATGAAAAGTATTTCAATGCCAGGAACAATTCCCTAAGAGCACAGAAATGTCTCTAAGTGATTTAGCAACTGTCATTTTCCCAGTGATAATGAAATCAGCATATAAAGAGAGAAACACTATTAACAGTTTGACAACTGCTGATTGTGTAGACAATTGCAGTGAGAATTCTGCTCCTAAAGATTAAGTCCAGTGGTCTTCTGGTTTGGGGGCCAGATTCAGATTTTTAACTCACTAGGCCATGTGCTCATATCATACTCTGTTACCTTGGGGCATAAGCCAGGGTCTAGTAGAGCCATCCCATACTTTTCTAACATGGCCAACATTTGTATTTAAATTTGTATTTTAGCATTATAAAAGACAGCAGTACCTATCCTTGAGGGATACCGGAAGAAACTTGTGTTAATGTGCTTGCTATGATGAATGACAAGAAGTGCAGGCTTGTGCAAAAGTGGAAAATGAAATTAGCACCCACCTTTATGCTTCAGCTGTTTTTGCTTATGTTTACCCAAGCATCATAGAGGGTCCAATAACCCACAGCACTACAGAATTTTGTTTAAAGTTTCCTTTTGATTTTTTATGATAGAAGTAGCCCAATTCAGTACAATGGCACATGGAAAACCAGATTGGAAAGTTTTGGAGGAGTTCAAAATGAATCATCACATTATCATGCATGGATGATAAAGATCATCCATTATGGTAAACTGCATGCTTTCATAACAGAAGAGTGATGTACATGGATGGTGATCATGACAACGGTGAGATGACAATGACTTTGACATTGGCCACGTGAGCCAAAGTGAAATGGAGTATGAATAGACTAATACAGACACAGGGGATGCAAAACTTCTTGATCCTTATGAGGAAGAAAGCAGCACTGTGAGTACATATTTGACTAGTTGAGATGTTGCTAAATGGCTACACAACCAAATGGAATGATCTGAGGTTAGAACTAGGTCTGAAAATACAGTGAGGGTCTTGTAGGGGTGAGAAGTATTGGACAGAAGGCCAGCACTGCCATTCAATGTCGGAAATGGTAGCAGAGGAAATGCTATAAGATGCTGTGAAACACACAAAGTTCAACTGCAAGGAAACATTCTGTATGCACCAAAAGCCTTATTCAAAAGTGTATTTATTATGACAGTTCATTGGCCGAACTGAGAGCTTTCATAGGTCTGCTGTATTTAGCACAGATTTCTCGTGGTGATTGTAGGAATGTAAAAGACTTGTGAAAAAGCAATGGGTCAAAATATGACATAAAAATGAATGCCTTTGTAGATGTGAAGACTTACCATGCCTTTAATTTAGACATTTATCATGAAACTCAGTCATTAAATCCTTATTCGTATGGTAATAAGCCAATGATGTTGTGAACAGATTTGTAATTTCTGAAAGGGTTTTGGCCCAGACAGGACACTGTAGCCAGGAAAGCCTCAACCAGAAGCAGGAAGCCCCTATCTCCCCCGCCCCTAGGAATTTACCTGTGACGTCATCTTCCCCGCCCCTGGGAATTTACCTATGGCGCAAAACCTAGGACCAATAGTGTGCATCCCTAATGCCCGCCTTAGGTTCCACCCCAAACTGAGGCTACTTACATACCCCCACGCCACGTGTCCCCCAGAGAGATTGCCATATGCCAGCCATGGTGGTTGTCGGTCATCTCTCTCCGTGTTCTCAGAATAAAGGCCGCTTTTTGTTTTATACTTCTCATCTTTTGGAAATATTTTTCATCTTTTGGAAATAATCCTATCAGTTCCATCTCCCAGACTAATCAGAATGTGACACTGGACAATTGATTACCAGTTTCCAACTGACCTTACATTTGCTAACACAGCACAAGTTGATCAATGCAGGAACTGAACCCAGGAACAAAGCAGAAATTCCTAATGAAATGTTGCAATTTCCAAATGGAGAATTGTATGTTACAATGTTTGGATTTCAGAAAGATATGACATTGGCCTCCTGTATGGTACAGAAAAGCAAACTGATACTGCTGACGTCAACATTTAACCATGATGGAAATATTGATAAGGAAATCTCAGCCAAACAGAAGCCTGAGATAAAAACTTCCAACAACAAAACCAAACACGGAGTAGATGTTGTTGATAAATTGTGCAGCAACTATGATGTCACTTCAAACACAAAGCATTGGCCAATGATTGTGTTTTACTTGGTCCTAAACATGTGTGGCATAAATAGTTGGAGGTGTTTACAAAATAACAAGTGCCAAATACCAAGGAGAAATTTTCTTAGAGAACTGGGACTGGACCTCATTTACAGCAGAGGAAACCAAATGTTTCTCCCCAGGGAGCTATGCAAAAAATTGTGGAACACACAGGTGAACTGATAGGTGCATAGGCAAGTATAACATCACAAAGAGCCACTACGACAACAGGAAAACAAGGAAGACATTGAATATGTCCTATGAGGAAGTACAAATCAAAACATACGTACTCTCAATGCAAGCAATACTTGTGTATGGAACATGCAGTAGTTTTGTGTGAAGACTGCCTTGGGTGTGAAGGTTGAAGCAAAGCTTATTTCTGTGGTAGAGTTCTATTGGTATCTTCATTGTAGTTTAGATAGAAATTTATTTCTGACGTATCTTTTTTAGGTTTTGTGAGGAAGTACAAATGAAAATGTTGGTAACTATTCTAAATGCACAATATACACGAATAATTTAATAATTTATTTTACCTATATTTTATGTTCCTGTTAACTACACACTGTGCAATATAATAAGAACCTCCTGACAAGATAGTGTGACCACTGAGATGTCAACTATGTCCTACAAGAAGACCAGGAAAGCAAGACATGTGCTGTCAGTGTAAGCAAGGCATGTGTAGGGAATGTGCTGTTGTCATGTGTGCAGACAGTGTTAGGTGTGATAATTGAAGGAAAGATTTGTTTTTTATAGATTGTATTGGTATTCCCATGTAGTTCATATGGGAATTTATTTCTGATGTTCTGTTTTAGACTTTGTACACCAAAAACCAGTCGATGTTAAAAATTTTGATGCTTTTCTATAAAAACTCAATAAATATTGAAAACAATCATTTATTTTTGCGATTTTTCTGTTAATAACTCATTATTTAACTCATAATAAAACTCATTAAAATAATTAATAATTCACCAATAGAAATATTCTAAAGAATTTGGTGCCTTGGTGACAAAATCAGTCTTCTTTTTCTAGC